TCAAGGAACCTATCCTATGCTGGAAGAGTGATGTTAATAAACTTAGTACTGCTGCACATTCACACTTATTGGTCCTCTATCTTCATACTCCCAAAGAAGATAACAAAGAACATCACAGCTATATGCAGGAACTTCTTATGGGATGGGAAAACAAACACAAATAGGGTGCCACTGATTGCTTGGGAACTCATATGCAGGCCCAAAATAGAGGGTGGACTGGGGATTATAGACTGTGAAACTTGAAACCAAGCGGCCATAGCAAAGTATGTATGGAATATAGCAAATAAAGCTGATAGCCTGTGGGTACAATGGGTTGATCACATATATTTGAAGAAGAAGGATTGGTGGCAATACAAACCGCCACAGGACTGCAGTTGGTACTGGAGGAAAATCTGTTCCATCAAGGATCAATTTGCTGAAGGATTTGATCAGCAGAAGTGGTTGGCAAACAAAGGAAAATATACAGTGAAAAGTGGCTACACATGGAAACAAGGGACAAGGGAAAGATGGGCAAGTAGCAGATGGATATGGAGTAGAAACAACATCCCAAAGCATAGCTTCATCTGCTGGCAAGAGAAAGACTGGCCAAACTAGGGATATGCAAGGAAACACAATGTGCTATATGTGAGGCAGGAATAGAAACAACTGAGCACTTATTCTTTGAATATGACTATTCAAGGACATGCCTGAGTGAGATACTGAAATGGCTACAAATTGGAGTGCAGCAGTACAAGCTAGAAGGATTATGGAGAAGAATGACAAGAAATTTAAGAGGCAAAGCTTACAGAAACATCACCAGTTCTATCTTAGCAGCTACAATGTACCACATTTGGAAAGCAAGAAATGATGCACTGTGGAATCTCAAAGTCCAACGACCCCAGAAGCTGATAGAGACTGTGAAAGAGGAATGCAGGCTGGTCATGTAGGAAATCCTGGGAAAGAAGGCAACATCACAAAGACAAAAAGCATGGATACACAAGCTAATGTAAATATAATAGAAATAGAAGAATAGAAAATTGATGTAATAGAATAGCTTTGAAGTGAGGAGTAGGATCTACAAGGAGAACAGTCTGTACATTTGAATTTTGGGTTGGTGATTAATAAGAATATCTCTCTTTCACCAAAAAAAAATAAAATTAGCAATAAACACCTCTGCTCTCTTATCAATGTCGTTTTCGTAGTCGTCGTCGTCCTCATCATCATCATCGTTACTGACATCAGTATTAGTATCAGTACTTTTGATTCTTCGAACACAACGTGTAGGAGGACCCTCTTGTTGTTCAAATTTATCAATGTCACGAGTTACATCGTGTAAGGAAGAGCTCTTCGACTTCTTGAATAACCTTATAGGATGCTTCCGTCGAAATTTAAGGATTCCTGAAGTTAGTTTCCTTTTCTGCATGCCTGATCTAAGTAGAAAAGTGACTACTTTCCTTTTCTGCATGCCAGATCTAAGTAGAAATGTGACCTTCTTGGTTGCTTTTTTAAGTGTTTTTTGGGTACACTTAGTTGCCTTTTTGAGTGCCTTGACTAGTGGCCAGCTTTGTGTAATTTTCATGGCTATGTTTTATAATTTAGTACAGAAGATCTAGGTTGCCTTTTGTGTGCTAGAGTGTGGAAATTAAAGGAAGCCAACAAGGGATCTATTATATAGGAGGAACTAAGATGAAATATAATGGATAAAATGGGTGGTAGTAGGTAATATATTGATCTAGACTAGCAAGCACAAACGTATCTGATCTTGTTTGTTGAAAGGAATTTGTCATAATAAATTAATAATATAAAATATCACCACACACCACTATAAATGAAGCATTGGGTCCTAAAATATACTGTAATTGGTGACCCTCTTTTTCATGTTCTTCTACCTTCTTCGTTAGGTAGAAGTAAAGCTTACATACACACTACCCTTCGCAAATTTTATTTGTAAAAATACACTGGATTTGTTGTTATTGGCACAAGAAATGTCAACAGCAAAAGGATAAATCCAACTGACCTACGTCCACGTCGGAGATGAGCAATCCACTATATAAAAGAGAGTACAAAATATCGAGAGAACAACCTCACGAAGAGGCAAACATAAGTGACACAGTAACACTTGTCCCGTAAAGTTCTCCCCCTAAACAGGACTCTCAAACCCAATATAGCTACATTGTGGATGCTACTGAATGAGAAGGATGAATCTTCAATTTATAGAACTTCAAATCTTTTCCTACAAGAAAAGGGACTAGCCAAATACGAGAGATTTATAATTTCCTTCTATAAGAAGAAAAACTCAATTATGGTAGATATGTTGTTCTTTCCTTCATGAGATAGGAAAACCAATTATGGTAAGAAAATTTGGACAAACACCTAACAATTAAAAGTATTTGTTTTGCTGCAGTTTTCTATTCTGACCAACCAACTTCAAATCAAGTTTTCCGATTCGTTAAACATTGGATCGGGCTGAAATTTGAGTGAGTGTTCGTAACATCTTGGTCTTTGATTAGAACGGTGGAGAACGGATTTGGAGGCCCGTAGCATCTGATTTTGAGCCTCGAACAACAGCTTCATTTTGGTGGATTCTCCTCTTTCTTCAATTTATTAGTTGTTGCTCTTGTTGCTATTGTTGCTCCGTGTTTGGCACTTGCTATATAGCTAATTTAGAGAACTTTTGTAACCCTCTTATTGTTATAGTGGAGCTTTTTGGGTCTTTGTGATCCCGTGGTTTTTACCTTCAATTTGAAGGATTTTTCACGTTAAAATTTGGTGTTCTTTATCTTCTTTATTTTCTGGTTTACCTCTTCCTCGACATAACAAATGGTATCAGAGCGAGGTTCAAGACAAATTCATCTTGGCGGGTTTAGTTCTAGCCGCAACGTATTTGACGATAATCATGATTTTTGTTTGAGAAATTTGACTGGAGTACTACTCGCATTGAGACAAACTTAGCGGTGGAGATTTGGAGATGCGACCTGTTGAAAGCTATGTGGAGAAGGTGGATCAAGTTTATTTTGTCAGAAAATTCAGGCCAAGGGGGAGAATTGTTAGGTGTTTGTCCAGATTTTCTTACCATAATTGGTTTTCCTATCTCATGAAGGAAAGGACAACATATTTACCATAATTTAGTTTTCCTTGTTGTAGAAGGAAATTATAAATCTCCCATATTTGGTTAGTCCCTTTTCTTGTAGGAAAAGGTTTGGAGTTCTATAAATTGAAGATCCGTCCTTCTCATTCAGTAGCATCCACAATGTAGCCATATGGGGTTCGAGAGTCGTGTTTAGGGGGTACGGGACAAGTGTTAGTGTGTCACTTGTGTTTGCCTCTTCGTTTTGTACTCTCTTTTATATAGTGGATTGCTCATCGACGTGGACGTAGGTCAGTTGACCAAACCACGTTAAATGTTTGTGTCTCTTTTGATATATTTCTCTTTATTGTATGATTTATCGTCGTTCAAAATTTGCTTTGCTAGCTTCCGCATGACACATCTGATTTTTTTGGTCCTAACAGTTATTGGCGCAAGAAATGTCAACAGCAAAAGGATAAAACAACAGATTACTCTATTTTTACATGATAGAACTACTACATTCTTAAAAAAAATTCTAGAGTAATTAATACAACTATCAAACGGACACAACATTGGCAGAGACTATCGAGACTACATTAGTTAAGGGGAATACACACGTTATCCTAGCTCATTATCTCAACTAATTACGTAGATATTTATTCAACGTTACCGACTACTAACCAACTGATCAGTTACCTAAAACTAATTAATTACTCCAACTAGCTTATACTTAACTTGACAAGATTATTGCATATATCTTCATATATGATAAGATATGAGTTTGACGAAGAAATTGGCCTGATGTAAATAAATCAAGACAGGCTTGTGTCATATAATTTGAACTTTTTCTTCTTAAAGTAAATTTGTAAGAATTTTTTTTATGGTGTTTATATTTACTAGGTCCCAGATGCTAATAGTGGTCATGAACAAGCAATAGAGACACCACGAATGCCATTTCAAAGTACCAATACATTTTCTTTTTCATACTTTTGTATTGTTAATTAGTTGCTACCTTAAGTTTGACAAAGAGAAAAATTGATGTGACTAGTGTTATTTATACCTATTTATGCTAGTCTTAAAGATTACATCAGTTTCAAAGTACGGCCCGGCCATCCATTTATTTATGTGTAGGTTTTGTGGTCCATATATTTGGATTTGATTCCCCAAAAAAGGGCTCCTGAATATCTGATATTTAATCCTTTTTTATATACAAATTTTTCATCAGACGTTCACCTTTAACGAAGCGGTGTCACGCGACACCGCTTCGTTAGAAATTTTTACTAAGTATATGTATTAATACTGTAAGGAAACGGATAAGTAGAAAAAATGATACTACTATTTAACAAAAATTATTTCTTTGTGTGTTGGTTATGTGCTTGATTTTGTTTTAAGAGGTCAAATGTTAGTGTAAGCACGTGATTTTTGCCCTATATGAAATGCTCCTATAAAATCCAAGAAAATAGATGTTTTTCAATTATTTTCAATTTTATAAGATTTTATTAATTGTTTGCATTTTTGTGCACGTTTAATTTTTATTAAAATCATGAAAATATCAAAAAATATCATGCATTGCATTTAGGTTTTGCTTTTACACTTTTAGGAATAATTAGTTAATTATTTGTTTTATTAAAAATTGAAAATCACCAAAAAGTGCTTCATTTTTACACTTTTTCTTTTATTGATTTTTTCTCTTTTAATTTAGGATTAGTTAGCTTTTATAATTTTTATAATTAGTTAATTACTTTAATTTCACACTTCTAGATAATCTAGGATCTTAATTTCTAGGATTTTTAACTAAAAAAAAAGGGAAAAAATGGGAAAAGAAATTGAGTTAGTCTTGATGTATTGGGCTACCCCAAAGAACAAATACATTGGCCCAAATTTTTGTTCCACCCAGCTGGCCCAAATCAAAAACAACCCAAACCCAATCCCTTCCCTCTTGTTAGATCAGACCCCTCCCTCACATTGAGAGACCTAGACCTAGAAAAGATCAGGAGCTTCCTCTCTCTAACTACACACAGAGCAACGGCGCACATTTTTAGCTAGGTGAGCTCCATCTTTAAACTAAAAAAAAAACCCAGCTGATTTCCATCAATTTCAGCAACAAAAACAACCAAAAATACACCCACACACACATTCTTCGCCGGAAATCAAGCAAGCTTCTTCAGTTCCTTTTCTTTACTTCAAAGATCAAAAAAACAAAAAAAAAAATAGAAAAAGGATACATAGCGGAAAGGCTAAAAACGAGATGAAATGAAAAAAGAGAGGTCCAAGTTCTGACAAGTCTTTTGGTGTAATTTGAATTTTCCGGCGAATTCCGAGTCCATCGAAGGTCGTATTTGAATTTTTTTTTTTCTGGGCCGATCCGCTGCTGCTGCTGTCTGTTCGTCGCTAAGCTACAACTTGTAGAGCTCCCTTTATTTTGCTGCTATCCGAGCTCTTGTTCTTGTTTCTAAACTAGGTACACATATACCCCTGAGTTTCCTTTGTGTTTACTCGTTTATGAATGAAGTGAAATTTAGTTCAAATTCCTGTTTATGTAAATCTATATGTTGGCATGTTTGAACGTGACAAGTGACAGATTTATGAATGCTAAGCAACTGAATTTGGTCAATTTAAAGTCAATTCTGATTTTGAAAATCATTGCCTGGGTATAATATTTAAAATTGTTTCTGAAGTCTGCTTTATGAATCGTGTTTAGTTTGCTTAAGATAATTCAAATTTGAACTTGACGATGTTGAGACTTATGTGGATAATACTGTTGCTGCTCCTCTTTTTCCACTTGGTTTCTCTTGTTCCTAATGCCAAATCAATGGGAGGAATTGAAAGTTTTAATGCAGAAACGTGACTTCATTGAATACTTTGGACGAAACTACATATCACTAGGATTTTTGTTCTTAAATGTGGAAGAACTGTTATTTCGTTTCTCTTCCGTTGGGGCTAGATATTTCATATGTGCTCAAATTTAGAATTCTTAAACCTGTGATGCAAAAGTAGTTGCACTGCCTTGACCGTATATATATACATGTAATTCATTTCATTTCATATGAGCTTGTATAATTTTTGATTTTAACTTGTTGAAATTGGTTATTGAAAATTGGAGATAGCCGCTTACATTCGTATTTGATATGTTTGAAGGTCTGGGATTTAATCAAATTTTGGTTGGTTGTGTGATGTTGGATTCGACGGCCTTGTTAAGATGAAATAGCCGAGTTGCCAACTTACTATATCTCATTTGTTCTTCTCGATCTAATATTCTGCTATCTCAATTTGAGTAGCTTTTGCATTCATGCTGGTGTATTTGGTTCCTGAGAGTTATTATTTTCTTGAGACGCCAAGCCAATTTTTGTGTTAACATATTACTGGCCCATTTTTCCTTTAATAATAAAGCTAGCTTTTTTTTTTTGTTTATAGAAAAATTGAGGTGCGCCGCGCCAAATAAAATCCCAAATGCGTGGCCCTCATTTAATTATTTCTTTTAAAATACTTAGAACTCGATGCGTGCCATTTAGCTAATTTCCATGGCCCTCGCAAAGTTAACAACACGTTAGTTGCTTTAGGCGCGTTATATAATAATTTTACCTTCTTAAACTCGGGTGTGCATTTCATGTGACCCAAATCCAAATCCTAAAACGTTGAATAAGATGTGTTCCGGATTGCGGGTGCATTTCATGTGACGCGATCCAAAAGACATATTTTAGACGACGTTTAATCTTCTTTAAAATTAATTAAAAGCGGTAAATAATTTAAAATTGCACTATAGGTGGAACATGTATTAAAATCAGATAATCGGCCAATTATGATAGTTTAAGCGACCGTGCTAGAACCACGGAATCCGGGGGTGCCTAACACCTTCCCTCGGGTTAACAGAATTCCTTAGTCAGAATTTCTGGTTCGCAGACTTCAAATGGAAAGTCGAAATCTTCCTCGATTTGGGATTTAAAATAAACGGTGACTTGGGACACCAGAAAACAAACCTATCCCAAGTGGCGACTCTAAAACTAAATAAATAATCCCATTTCGAATAATGTCACTTAAATTGGAAAAACTCCCTTATACATTATTCTTCGGGGTAGGTGTGTAAAAAAGGAGGCGTGACAGTTAAAACCTCAACTAGCACACTTTTTTGAAAATATTTGAGATAGCCTCCGTGGTTAAAGATTGTGATGAAGTAGAATTGAAATCGGGACCTGTTCTAACCTACGACACAACAAAACCAATAGACTAAGGCTATTTTTTGTTTGGAAATTTAAGGTTATTATTCTTGCTCTTCTATAAATTTTGACACCACTTATAAAAAATTTTGCACACGCCCCTGAGTATCCGCATTGGAGTTCTTAAATCTGGATTCCTGCCAAAAAGTCTCATATTAAGAGGTAAAATGATTTCTAACAACGCCGATTTTATATATATTTAGGAATTGAACTCGAGATCTATAATTAAAAAATGGAGAAGTATTTATCATTTCAAGACAATCCACACACGAAGACTGAATCTAACCAAACTTTGTATGTACCACTTGTAACATCATTTTCATGTTTCGTCTCACTCTAGCATTTTCTTTGACATTATTATTTCCTTTTTGGTATTCTTGATATCATCCCCTACTATTGGTAACAAATAGAGCAGCCAAAACAAAACGAAAAGAAAATGTTATCTACGTACTTTATTAATTGGTATCTGGACTTCAAGAGACTATATGATAATAAATAAATATCCTAAAAACACATTTTTCTCTGTTTTCTGGAAAGTGGAAGCTAACTTCTGTGGCACGAGAAGGCAAGTCATTCTCCAAACATCTTCTGTGTCATTTCCAACCACCACCACCACCCCCACCCACCCCCCACCCCCACCCCCCCTTTCCTACCGACCAACCCTACCCCGTAAAATGTACTGCTCACATCATGTTTTTATAAAATTTAGAACAGAAATCATTTGATATACTATTTGACTTTGACGTAATCTTTCATGGGCAGTCAAGTTTACAAATTAGGGGTCAAAATATTCAAAAGTTTGTTACTAAAGGTAATTAAATCCCTATCATATGCAGGAAGAACTCAACTTGTCCAGACTGTCTTATTTGGTGTGCAAGTTTTGTACTATCTTCAATACCATCATCAAGAAAGCTTTGGTTGCCTGGGATAAAAGATGTGCCCCAAAAAGTGTTGGTGGTCTTAACTTGACGAATTTTACATTTGGAATAAAGCGGCTATAGCAAAAACTTGTTGGCATCTAGCACATAAGCAAGATAAACTATGTATCAAGTGGATTCACACATATTACATCGAAGGACAGTGAATGATCTCTGTGGCAATACCTAAACAGGCACGTTGGATGATCAGGGAATTATGGAAGCAAGGTCTACACTGGATTAAGTACAATGCAATTTTAAAGCTGGAAAGAGTATCACAAGGCAAATATACATACATCTCCTAAGAAATGAACCTAGAGCACCATGGAAATGCATGATGTTTTACAATGTTGCTCGACCAAAAGCTAGGTTTACCCTGTTGTTGCATACAGTGCTTCAATGGGCACAAGGTCGACCTATGAATACAGGGGGATGGTAACAATATCAACAAGAGATTATTGTAAATGCTTAACTTTTGCCATGTCTTTTTATTCTATATATATATGTGTGTGTGTGTGTGTGTGTTCTTATTCGTGTGTATGTAGGTTTTGAGAGTTTTATTATGATTTAATTAAGAGAGGAACAAAACTTTGGGCTAGTGTTATTTTAAAGTGAAATGGGCTAAAAAAATCGGACCAAATCATTGGCCCAATTGCACCAACCCAGACCAATTGATGGCTTGCCAAGACCCGGATCAAAACGATGTAGTTTCATAATAAAACTACGTCGTTTCACTAAATGAAACAAGATCAAATCTTACCCCTCCATTCCATCTTGATCCAATGGATCTCATTCACTCTTGGCCTAGGTAGTTAAAGCCTCCAAAATCTAAAAAAATTTCCCATTTTCACCCATAATTCTTTTCGCTTTTTCTCTCTTATCACTCTCTTCCCCCTCTCTGTCACGTCGCCCCACCGCCGCCCGTCGCCGCCGGCCGGAAATCGCCGCCGCCGGCGGCAACCCTCCAATCCATCCCAAAATTTCACCATCTCTTCCCCTCTTCCTCCTCTTTCTACCTATACCACTCATATCCTCCAAATCTCCACCAATCTCCGTAGATCTAAGCCTAACCGAAACCCTAGCCGCCGCCCACCACCCCAAACTCCAAAAATTTTACACCACCGGCCTCTTCTTCTCCCTCTCTTTCCATATCTCCGACTCAAAACATCAAAAAAACCCACGCCGCCCTAGCGTCGCCGCCACTGCCCTAGCGCCGCCACCACTGCCGCCCGTTTCTTTTCTCTAACCGGCCTCGAGCAAGGTTGTGTCGTTGATATTATTGAAACCGGACTCGGATTCACCGGAATTTTTTGGTTTCAAGAATATCAACAATAGAAGCTTGCTCGAAAGTCGTACCACTGCCTATCGTCGTCTCCCGGATGCTCGAGTATATGGTAAAATCGCAATCCCCGCCCCGTTATTAATTTTCTGATTTTTCTTTTTTTTTTTTTGGATTTTTAGTTTAGAGTTAGTTTCTGTCTTGTTTCTTTATTTAATCCATTTCTAATTATGTTTGTCTTTGTTAAATCGCTTCAGCGATATCGTGCGTTTCGTTTGGCTTTAATAGTTAATTTTTGTTTGCTCATGTTGGTTCATAATACATGTGTTGAAATTTAATTACATGTTTTAATACTTGGTTTAATTTGAATCAATAGGTTGATATTGGTGTTGTTAAAATCTGAAATTTAGATATTTTGTAGGGTACTAGTAGCTTGCTTTTAGTAGGGTGGCTGAAGTGACCCTTTGGCTATTGCCATAGCAGATTTCAGGCTGTCCTTTCACCTTTTGGACAGCCTTTAGCACACAAATTTAGCCTCTTTTGGACAGATTTTTGTTGAACCAAAATCTGTCCAAAAAGTTGGCTTTTCTTTGCCTATTTAAGGGCTGCCTTCTTCATTATAAGAGACTCCATCACACATTGGTTGGACAGTTTTTACACTCTAAAAATATAATTTTGAGAGTGAAAAATCAGCAACTAAAGCACCCTTTAGTAAGCTGAAATGAGGAGTTGAACACTCTAACACACTTGGCCATCACCTTCTACATCTTAAAAAGCAAAAAAACTTCAGAAAAGATCAGCTGAACATACTGAATAGTGAGCTGAAAATTCTGAACTTTGTGAGTGTTTCTTAGAGTGTAAGACTTGTAAGAAAATAGAGGAATCCTAGGTAATTGCTTGGGGAAGTAGCTACTGGTTTCAAATACTTTCTTGCTGGATTTTTCTGGGCTATTTCTTGGATCATAAGTTGCTGATTTTGCTGCTGTTGCGTTGCTGTTTGTTGCTGAAATTCAGTCCCTCCCTTACTAATATTTTTTGCTCTGTTAATCAGGTAATTTCTTCAATTGTTGCACTACTTTAGGGTCAAGAATAAATGCAAAATGAGATGATTTAAGCTTCTTTATTTTACTTCCATGTTCAATAAGGTCTGCTCCTTATGATGAATATTTATGGAACACCTGTAATTAAATAGTTCCAGCTTTCCTTATTTTCTTGTCAAGTTATTAGAGTTGAGGATACAAGTTATGTTAGAGGTGTGAATTACTTCATATCAGTTTCTTTTTATTCATATTGTTTGTGTTGTTCTGGAAATCAACATGCGGATCTTAGTTGTGGAGATTGCTTGAATTTATAAATTTGAAATAAAGTTTAGTTCTTATCTCATGTGCTGGAAATAATTAATCTAAGTTAGTTAAATGTTTAAAGCAATGAACGAGATTATTTTCTTGATCGTTCTATGTTTGTAATTAAAAATTATTGTTTGAGGCTTAAATATCTGTTGTTGTTGGAGTACCATTCGAGTTTAACTAATGAATGATGGTTGCTCAATTTCTTCTAGATTAGTGTTATTTACAAAATTCTGTATAATTTTGTTTTACTCATGCTAGTGGTAGTCCAATATGAAATTTAACCAAAAAATATTTTTGTCATTTGGGTTCAAAAACCTTGTCAGATTCATGTAACTATCTTGACTCTGTTAGTTTAAGGTTATTTCTCATGGGTATCGAAATCGAAATTTCTTCATAAAGTAGAATATGTATACGGGTTTGATAAGATCATGGTATCAACGGGGATGTGGAAGGGGTTTATCTTTGAGGTTATATTGGTGTAAAGATTCTTGGTCAACTTTGGCTAAATTTTAGTTCCATATAAGAATAAATATTTTGCTTAAAGAAATATAAATCTGTTAGGCCAAATAGGCATGATATCATTATGTTATTTTTAAATAAAAAAAAATATATTTTTACATCTTTCATAGATAAATAGAAAAAGAGAAAGGGAAGAAAGAAAGTGATTTGCGGCAGTTTGTTTCTTGCACTTAGAATTGAAAAAATGGTATTTTTAAAATCATAGTGGGCCCAGTGCTATTTTAACGGCCAAAATCTCCAAATCATTCTATTCTTAAGTTGTTAAAAGTTAGCCATTCAAATATAAGTATTTTAGTTTTATTAATTAATTTCAAAGCGCTACATTCTCTTTAAATATTTATATGACTTAATCACTTCTAAAATAGAAGGCTAGTGAACTCTTCATCAGGTGCGTTAGTAATTTCAACACGACCACGGTTTCGCTTGCGTAGCGTGATTGTAACATTCAATAATAAGCTTTGCAAATAAATATCATGCCTTCTCTTTTAGGTCTAATTATTTTTGTCATAACCACGGACTCGCTTGCGTAGCGCGGTAGTGACATTTAATAAATTTTCCAAATTAATTTCTCAAGTATAAATGTAGTAAATTATCTAAAAGTAATAACATGTTAATAATTCTTTGTCATGACTGCGGATTCGCTTGCGAGCGCTGTTATGACAAAGCCAATAAATTTCGTCTAGATCACGCATTCGTTTGCGCAGTGTGATTATGACATTTTATTACATTCTTTAATAATCAAGGAATAAAAGCGGATAGGTAAAACATGAAAATAATATAAATTACAGTTTGTCCAAAATTAGTTCAAGCCAAGTTTTAAGTCAATAAAGCGACCGTGCTAGAACCACGGGACTCGGGGAGTGCCTTATACCTTCTCCCCGGTCAACAGAATTTCTTACCCGAACTTTGTTTTTGCGGACCGATAAAAATAGAGTCAAACCTTCCTTTGACTAGGGATTCAAATAAATGGTGACTTGGAACACCGAAAATATCAATTCCAAGTGGCGACTCTGAACAATAAAATAATCCCTACTCAAGTTTTGTCACTTTAATTGGAAAAACTATTTAACCCATAATCCATACATACATATCTTTTTGGGGGTGGGAAAAAAGGGTGTGACAGGACTTATCGTCGTTCAAGGTTTGCCTTGCTAGATTCCGCATGACAGTTGATTTTTCTGGTCCTAACAAGAGGTATCAGAGCGAGGTTCAAGACAAGTTCATCTTGGCAGGTTTAGTTCTATCCACAACGTATTTGACAATAATTATGATTTTTGTTTGAGAAATTTGACCGGAGTACTACTCGCGTTGAGACAAACTTGGCGGTGGAGATTTGGAGATGCGACCTGTTGAAGGCTATATGGAGAAGGTGGATCAAATTTATTTTGTTAGAAAATTCAGGTCAAGGGGGAGAATAGTTAGGTGTTTGTCCAGATTTTCTTACCATAATTGGTTTTCCTATCTCATGAAGGAAAGGACAACATATTTACCATAATTGGGTTTTTCTTTTCCTAGAAGGAAAATATAGTTCTTCCATATTTGGCTAGTCCTTTTTCTTGTAGGAAAACGTTTGGTCTTCTATAAATTGAGGATCCTACCTTCTCATCCAGTAGCATCCACAATGTAGCCATATGGGGTTTGAGAGTCGTGTTTAGGGGGAAACGGGACAAGTGTTAGTGTGTCACTTGTGTTTGCCTCTTCGTGAGGTTGTTCTCTCGATATTTTATACTCTCTTTTTATATAGTGGATTGCTCATCTCCGCCGTGGACGTAGGTCAGTTGACCGAACCACGTTATATGTTTGTTTCTCTTTTGGTATATTTCTCTTTTGTTGTCTGATTTATCGATGTTCAAGTGTTGCGTTACTAGTTTCCTCATGACACCTGTTTATTTCGGTCCTAACAAGGACCGAAGAAATCAGGTGTCATGTTGACACTAGTAACGCAAACCTTAACAAAGATAAATCTGATAACAAACAAGAAATACACCAAAAGAGACGCAGACATATAACGTGCTTTGGTCAACTGACCTCATCCACGGCGGAGATGAGCAATCCACTATAATAAAAGAGAGTACAAAATATCGAGAGAACAACCTCACGAAGAGGCAAACACAAGTGACACACTAACACTTGTCCCGTAAAGTTCTCCCCCTAAACACGACTGTCAAACCTGATATAGCTACATTATGGATGCTACTGAATGAGACGGATGGAATTCAATTTATAGAACTCCAAACATTTTTCTACACGAAAAAGGACTAGCCAAATATGGGAGATTTGTAATTTCCTTCGACAAGAAGGAAAACCCAATTAACGTAAATATGTTGCCCTTTCCTTCAACAGATAGGAAAAC